TTTTAAAAACATTCTATTTCTTTACAATTAGTAGTAATGTCCCATTTTCATTTCTCATTTTAGTATGTGAATATGCTGGTTTTTTTTTTTTTTTTTTTTTTTTAGTGTAGCTGAAGGTTTGCCAATTGTTAATTTTTTTGAAGAACTGAGAATCAACTTTTGGTTTTTTGGAATTCTGTTGTTTGTATAACCTTTATTTCATTTATCTCTGCTAAAATCTTTATTATTTTCTTCTTTCTCTTTGCTTTGCATCTAACTTGGTCTTATTTTTCTAATTTACTAGGTGATAAATTTATTATTGATTTGAGATCTTTGTACTTTTTAAATGTCTTTTAGCTGCAAACTTTTCATCTTAGCATTGTTTTTGCTGTTTCCCATAACTTTTGATATGTTTTGTTTTCATTTTTCTTCCTCCATATTTTCCTACTTACTCTGTGATTTCTTGTTTTACTTATTGATTGTTTAAGAGTATGTTCTTTAATTTATACAAGTTTGTAAATTTTCTAGAGTTTCTTCTGTTATTGATTTAATTCGAGATCTACTATATAGCCCATCCTGGAGAATTCCCCATGTGCATTTGAGAACAGTGTGTACTCTTTTTTGTTGGATGGAGTATATTGTATATATCTGCTAGATCAGTTTGGTTCATTGTGTTAGTCAAGTCCTCTATTTCTTAATTTATCATTCATCTCATTATTCTATTCATTACTCAGAGTGAAGTATTAACGTCCTCAACTATTTAGAGCTGCCTATTTGTCCCTTTAATTCTGTCAACTTCTGCTTTCTATATCTTAATGTTTTATTATTAGGTATGTAAGTGTTTAAAATATTTCTATCTTCTTGCCAAATAGACATTTTATGACTATATAATGTCTTATTGCCCCTTGTAACCTTTTAAAGTCTGTTTTGTCTGCTATTAACATAGTCATCCCTAGTCTCTTTTTCATACTATTTGTATGAAATAATTATGTTCTTCCTTTTTTTTATAACCCTCACATCCTGTGGAAAGCTAACAGCAGAATTACTTAATTTAAAATGCAGAGAAATCTTAAATCAATAGCTTAATGTTTGTAAAAGCATTTAAATGGAAATGAACTACCCTGTCCACCAGGAAAAAAGGACATCAGTTAGGTTTAAAAATAACCATGCTGAAAAGCTCTAAGAGGAAAAGCTGTTGGGAATTAGGACTGTGATAATAGTCCTAGGGATCAAGAAGGCAATGGGGAATTGAGGATGCTAAGAGTCAGGCACTTGCTTAGCAAAAGACCCAGAAAACCCTAAGATCTCCCCTCTGTATTTTAAACTTTGCACAAGTAGAAAGTAGAGGAACAAGGACAGTTGTAACTTCATGCTGATTGGTAAAGGCATGGTCCTACACACATACATAGATCCCAGATGAAAAAATCGGAATTATTTTTTGTGAGAGTTGAAAAATCTGGAGTCTTACTTTTCAATTAAGGTTTAGTGAAAATATTTGGGGAGATTTGCATTGATCAATTCATCCTGAGGTCAAGAAAATCTTGATTTTGGTATTTAGAGCCTCCAGTAAAGGATTAGCCTCCACCTAGAGGTGTTCTTTGGGCTTTTGGACTCAGAGCCATCTTGACACTACTACTGGTTCCACTGATTTGAAAGTCAGCTAAGAGCTTGCTACAGAACTCCTGCCAAACTAAGTTTGACCCATAGAGGGCTAGGGCATCCCCAGCTGGTAGAAACTTTGTGCCTCCTTCTATTCTCTGAAGCAAAGCTGCTGTCTCTGTGGGGCCCCCAATTTACTGAGTATTTCGTATATAACTGGTCCTAGTTCACAGATGAGTCACGGAAGCTGACACCTCACGATATCCACTGGGCTTCTGTGGCTGTTTAACCTTTGCCAGCCATGCAGAACCTGAAATGAGTGGTTGTTCTTCTCAATGGGCAGAACTCAGGGTTTGGGGTAATTGCCCATATTCTATCTGTTTGATTTTCTACAATGGAAACTATAGACTGATTGTCTTTTGGGCTGCAAACTGGAAACAGTCTCAGATGCTGATCTAACTGGGTCACTCATCTAGAAGTCTATGGTAAGGGTTTGTTTTCTAGAGACTAATCACAATCAAGCTGCAGATTGAGCCTAAATCTGTGTCTAACGCAGAGTCTAATACTGCATGCCAGACTTGGGGTTGCTGGTGAAAGTTGATCTATTTGTCTCATGGTTGAACAATTCCTAAACCATACCTAGCAGAATAACCAGAAGCGGACTTCTGGCCCACTTCTTGAGAGATCAGTCACCACTGTTGACATCTTCAGCATAATAGTCAGCTGACTCCAGCCATACTGTGTATCCCTTGAAGATAATCTGTGCCACCTTTTAGGCTTTTGAGACCACTTGAACTCTGACTTTGTGGCATTTATCACCATATCTACTAAAACGGGCCAACTCTATGATGGTACATCCTTTTTCACACATGTTGGTTAGATAATTTGTTGATTAGGGATGGTTTTCTCTGAAAGGGGATTATCTCTTCCTGATTGCCTCCAAGATAAGAATGAAATGGTTGGGAGATCTAGGAATCTATTTCACAAATTTGAGATTTCATGCTAATAATTCCTGGGTGAAATGTGTCTTTCTTTCCCATAACTACAATTCTAGACCAGCCTGGCTTGTGTACCCTCTGAGTTGCATCCCAGCCTACTAGTAGTTATGGGACTCCAACTTAGCTCTAGTTAAGTTTTATTTAAATATTCTTGTCTCTATTTTACCTGGCTCTGAGATAAAATGTCTAGAAAAAGGTAGAGGGCAACTAGAATAAAGGTGAGATTATAGGTACCAGAATGAGGCACACTGATTCTGTGGAGGTAGGGGGAGAACAACCTGGAACCTGGGGAATGAACAACTTAGACCTCAGAAGCTCCGGGGAATGATGGGGCATTAACAACTTTTTGTCTTTCTGAATAACCCCTGGTGCAGCCTAGAAAAGAGTCTGGGAATAGTATTAGTTAGACCAGATGGTAAGGCAGAGGCTGTGGATTCATCTCCTTTTGGTCCCCCTCATTACCCTTAAGAATCCTTTGAGACTATTCTATCTCTCTGTGATGTACACGTGGAACTCTAGTGGGCAGTGTGCACTCTCAGTGCCCATGGTTCAAGGCCACAGTTTTTCAGATGATGGACAACCATTGCTTTTTCCTGAAGAGACTTAGTACCCCGTGGCTGAGCTTAAGCCAGACTCTAGGCAGCATTGATTGCATTTTATTCTTCCTTTATGAACTAGGATTTCTCCTTCTGTTTTTCCTACTACCTAAAATGAATCAGTATTAGTCAATATTCAGGTAAATCAGAGACATAAATCAGGTAAGGAACCCTAGACACAGCTTCTAGCATAGCTGGACTCTTGCCTATTTCTCTTCTCACTTTATAAGCTCAATTATATTGGCACAGAGAGGTACCCTTAGATGGGGTCTCTCAGGAGCAATTAGAGAAGCATCATACTTCTAGAGAAGCTGGCAGGACAGGGCAGGAGGGTCAGTGAGGATCAAAGCTTCTGTCCAAATTTTTGAGTCTAGCTGTGTGTGGCAGATGAATCCAGGAAAGATCCCAGATCCCTGGAACGAATTATTAGTAGAGGATCCATTAGATTAGAACACTAGGGCGGGTGTTCATCCATCACCTTCTGAGTCAGATTTTCAGGGTTAAGTCTATAGAAGGGTTGCAGAGAAATGCTCGCCTTGGAAAGCCTCTGATCATGTGCAACATATGTGGCTCTGGCACAGGGAGAAGTCTTCTATTTGAGGAACATCATACGTGTGTGGATGTGAGTGTGCTCTTCCTCAGCAGAGCACCACTGACTGAATGATTGTTTGAGACTTATGCATAAATAGCCCTTTATTATTTTGAATTTAGTAAATATTGGAACATAAACAAACATTTTTATCTACTTTCAAATTGAATAAGAGCATGAGCAACTTCCAGGAAAATGTCACAGGAGGGAACTCCGGGGCCTTGCTCATCCCCAGAAACCTCGAAAATCCTGATGCAACCTGTAGAATTAACTTTATCAACACTTAGCTTTTTTACCATATAGATTTATCTTTATAAAAAATATTTTCATTGGACCTTTATTTTGTTATATGCCATGAAGAATAAGTCGTTTATTTCCTTTGTGATAAGAACATCACATTTTTGCACCTTAAGTATCAGTGATGCCATCCTCCAAGTAGTTTTTATTGCTTACTAAATTATTGCTATGGCCAGAATGTTTATGTCCCCTTTCAAATTCATATGTGGATAATTTTAGGTGTGTGGCCTTTGGGGAAGTGATGAAGCCAAGAGTTCTTCATCTTCATGAACAGAATCAGAGGTCTTTTAAAGGAAGTTGAAGGGAATGCCCTTGTCCCTTGTGGAGGAAGGTGCCATTTCTGAGGAACAAGGTTCTCACCAAATATTAAATTTGCTGCTGCCTTGATCTTGCAATTTCTAACCTCTGCAACTGTGAAAAACACATTTCTGTTGTTTATCTTTTACCCAGTCAAAGGAATTTTGTTATAGCAGCCTGGATGCACTATGACAATTTCTTAGGCACTTTGGTCTATTTCTGAATTTTTAGTTTCAATGACCCATGAGTTTTTTAATCAATCAAGATTTTTCACAGGACTGGCCAGTCTTGTTTTTTTTTGTTGTTGTTTTCTTTTTGTTTTGTTTTGTTTTTCCAGAGTTTTCTTGTCTACTCTTATTTGTGTTTTCATCTATATAATATTTTACAGTAATATGTCTACTTCCAATATTTAATGGTATCTGTATTGGAACAAAATTGAATTTATAAATTACCTTAAGAACAACTGATGTTGATAATACTGAGATTTTCTTCCTAAGAATACGATACAAATTTTCTATTTGCTTATGTCTACATTCATATATTTCATAAGCTTTCTATGGTTTTTTCCATATTCTGTACATGTTCTTATAATATTTATTCCTAGATGGTTTATTTTATTCTGCTAATGGGTAATTTGAGACAAAATGAAATTGTAAAGTGTTCATTTGAGTAACAGCGATTGATAAATTATAGAACATCAGACTGAAAGATATTTAGTGTTTCATTGACAGTGTAAAAAGCAAATATTTATTGGAAAAACGTGGAAGCAAAGAAATCATTTGATTGGTGGCAGCACCTAATTTTTTTTTGTTTGCTTTTTGTTTGTTTACCTTGTTGGACATTTCCTATTTATATAAGGTTGTTGGCTACCCCTGATTGGCTGAGTTTCACTCCTGTTTTTTAAATAGGCAGCTACAAGAAATAATTTAGGTTTTGCTTATATTTGCAAATCAATCAAGGTTGAGATCACTTATGAGATCTAACTGATTTTGTCTGCTCAGAGGTTGCTAAGACCTGATATCCATTTTAATTTACTTTAACAAAATTTCTGTACTTGTATTTTCCATCCAAACTGTAACTTATAAATTACTATTGTTGTACATATGTAGGCCCATGTTGTGCATGCTTTGAGGACATGTCCTGCTTTCAAACTCATTTGTAGAATGTTGTCATTACATTTACCCCATTGATTGGAATGATAAACTGCAATCTTCCAACTACAAGAGCTATGAGTTCAGAGTAAAGATGAAGCAGAAGTGAAAAGAGTTCTCCAACCCACACATGCAGTAAAAACAAACTTCATATGGATAAAATGAGTAATTATCTAAAATTTAAAATACCCTGAAAACATTAATGTTTATCTCATTACTATGTAATACGAAAATTACAAGACAAAAAAAACCCAAAGACTTTTATTTTTAAAATAGAAATTAAGCTATTTATATGACAAAATGTCCATAATTTAAATGTAAAATGCCAATAGGAAATATATGAAATAAAAGAAAATTATATGTAAAAGTCATAATGCCTGTATTAGATTTAATATCTTACAATAAAAGAAGTTGAAACCTACAAAATGGAAGAAAGTTTAAAATTAGGCAGATGTTATGAGTCTGGTGAAGAATAAATACATATGTCAATAAGCATTTAATGTATTTTGTCTTAGATTTTATGTGAAAGAATAAAAAAGTACACAAACCAATAGCATGGTAATTTCACCCTGATTGCATCAAACTGAAAAAAATGCAAACATTTTTCCATTAGAAGGTGAATTTATGGATTAGCCTCACGCTGCATTCAAGCACTTTGGCCAGGACCCAACACTCATTGCCAAGAGTCAGCAGGCTAGAAATTTGCTTTTAAGATGTTCTCCAGCCTGCCACCAAGACACTTTGTCCTGACTACTTCTTCAACCCTGACATAGGTTTTGCTGATATAAAGGCAAACCCAGTTCTATGCCTACCAAGCAGCTATGTGGCTAGAACTGCAAATTGAGCATTGAGGCATTAGGTAAGAGGTCTTCCCAGGTTTCCAACCAGACTTTTTAGAATTTCCTGAAAATACTGACTTTGTCTTTTTCAGACCTCATCTCCAAAAGGGAATCAGAGAGGGGGTCTGGAAGCCACTCAGAATCTCCAGACTCCTCCCTAGTAATAATGGACTTGGATACAAAGAGGCAACCTCCTGACCTCAAAGACACCAACCCAGATTCTGGGCATTGAATTCCTGGCTCCCCATGAAAGACCTCATCTGACTCACATCAAAGCCTGCACTCTTCTTCAACATTCACCTTCCAGACACGTTCCAAAACAGCTCATCAGAATTGTCTTGAGATGAAACAAAAGGTGATGAAGCTCCAGGTTTGGAATGCCTGCCTCATTCCCCACCTCCTGAAAAGTCTGCACCTGCTAGTTAGAGCTCTCACATCTTAAGGAGCTTAGCCTCTCAGAGTGCATCCTCTAACAGGACCTCCTGGCCTTTTCCTCCTTACAGGAGACTGCCCAAGAATAATAGGGAATACATGGCCGCCACTCTCACATGACTTGGTTGACTGATGAACTGATGTCCGAGGAGAAAAAAAATATTCAGGGAACAGTCTGTGTCTTGTGAATCCCTGTTTCCTCAGCTGTGATGCCTCTGCAAATGGAGGGAGAATCCCCAAATAATATTGGGTGTTGGACAGACACTGCCTAATAAAATTAAGTAAATTTAAGGTGACTTGAAGGGGAATTTATCATATGTCGTATACAAAATTTTAGTTAATGAGCTTTATTTAAAAACAGTCACAATTTGTAAGGGCATTAAAATATAAATTTAATAGGAAGCTATGAAAATTATCTGCACTTGCTATGTAAATGATTGAGTTTGGGGTAACTATCTGAAGGCCATGAGCTTGAAAAGATATCTGCTACTTAATTTCATAAGGCATTTACTTGCAAATGGTTGTCATTTTTGCTCTCATGATATGAAAATTTTTTCTTGCGAACAGCATTTCTCTAAAAAAAAAGTAGAAATTTTTCCAGTTTTGGTTATTAAAACAATAAAATTGCTCAGTTTGTTATTCTTAACCAAATGCTCCTACAGATAGCACATAACATTGATGCTTTTTTTTCACCTTAGATCAATTGCCTTTAATTTTATTCATCAAACTATATTTACTGTAGATAGACATTGCAGTTCTCATGTGCCCTATGGATTTGTACTTTGTTAGAAATATGAATTCTCAGGCTGAGTGTGGTGACTCACACTTATAATCCCAGCACTTTGGGAGGCTGAAGTGGGTAGATCACCTGAGGTCAGGAGTTCAAGCCCAGCTTGGCCAACGTGGTGAAACCCTGTCTCTACCAAAAATATAAAAAATTAGCTGGTATGGTGGCATGCACTTGTAACCCCAGCTACTTAGGCTATTCAGGCTGAGACAGGAGAATCACTTGAACCTGGGAGGTGGAGGTTGTGGTGAGCTGAGATCGTGCCATTGCACTCCAGCCTGGGCAACAAGAATGAAACTCTGTCTTTAAAAAAAAAAAAGAAAAGAAAAGAAAAAGTATTCTCAATCAAAACTCAGAACTATTAATTAAAAATCTGGATTTTAAACAATATGTTGAGGTAATTTATATGCACTTTAATGATTGATAAGTGTTGTAATTCTATTCTTAAAAGGGGAAAAGTTTATATGAGTGTATTCATTTGTCAAAATGTACAGTTCAGATTGTACCTTGCAATGAATATATATGTTATCCAAAAAGCCTAAAAAATAATGAAATTGGGGGGGAATGGCTGGAAGTATAGTAGCTTTTAAAGCTGGGTGACAGGTCTGTTATACTTTGTTTGTATTTTGTATGTTTTTGATATTCTGTAATAAAACACTTGTACGAAATTACAAAGTTAATCTACATTTGGCTCTTAAGATCTTCATTACCTTTGGGAAGGAGAAAGTGTCAGGGGCATAAACAAGTCTGATTCTTAGATACACAAATGTATTTATTTTGTAATAATTCATCAAGCATTCCATAAATGTTTTGTGCCTATATTGCTGTATGCATATTATACATCAATAAAAATGTAAATAGTACATATTTGCATAATAGTCCTAAATTAATATTTTAGAATAATAGTAATGTTTTGTTTTGTTTTAAAGTGGGCCATGTTCACTCAGGACATCATAAGGTGTATATTAATGTTCCAAGTTATTTACTTATGTTTTAACTTTTGGGTGAGCCCTCTAGGTCTTTTAATTTTTACCTCAATATAGTTAAGTAGCATGGTTTTAACTTTTTGGAATGCAGCTTTGTTTTCAGCAAGGTTCTCCCCCAAGAATGATGCTCACCCAGGCCAGGGCACACAGCACAGTGACCTGCGCACATGATGCACTGAGCACACACGGAACTGGGTGAATCAGGACTGGAGCGAGCAGCAGAGCCTGGGTCTGCATAGTAAAGTTAGTAGAAAAAGCAGGCAAGATTGAAAGGTCACAATTCAGCGGCAAATGTTTTTACATTCATTTGAGAAATCCTTTCTAACAAAAGCTGCTGGTTAATCCATGGTTTTGTGACTTGCCTACACACTGTAATCATCTGGAGAACTTTAAACCATATTGTTTTTCAGATCTAACTCCAGGGGTTCTGATTTAATTGATCAGTTACAACTTCGGTTTAAGGAATTTTTAAAGGTTTTCTCCCCGCAGGTGATTCATATGCTTCAGGGATAAGAAACACTGGATAGGAGTGAGCGATGCTTTAACTGTGAGGGATTTCCATGTACACTTCAGGATTTGTCCCATCACAACTCTGGAGATTGAGGTCTTAGAAAACATTCTTGCCCTGTTAAAAATTAAAGGATGGCTTCAAGACATACTTAGCTGTTTGGTTACATTGTAGAAAAAGAAAATGCCTTCTCCAGAGATCAGTTTTTGGAGATAGGGTTTTGCTCTGTCAGTCAGGCTGGGGTGCAGTGGTGTGATCATGGCTTACTGCAGCCTTGACCTCTCAGGCTCAAGTGATCCTCCAGCTTCAGCTTTCTGAGTAGTTGGGACTGAAGACATGCACTACCAGGCCTGAGTACATTTCTAATTTTTTTTTTTCTTTAGAGGTGGGGTCTCCCTCTGTTGCCAGGGCTGGTCTCAAACTCCTGGCCTCAAGCGCGCCTCCCACCTCAGTCTCTCTAATAGCTCAAACTACAGGCACAGGCAAGCATGCCTGGAGTCTTTATTAAAATGTAGCTACTAGAAAATTTAAAATTCATATGTGCCTCACACATTATTTCTTAGAGAATTGCCTCCTTTTTGAAATCTCAGGCTGCCTGCTCTAAAGCCTGCATGCCAGGAAAGTAAAAAATCTGAAATTTAAAAATGATTGTCATTATATTGCTTCCACGTATGAATAACATATATGTGTTATTCTTTTAAAAAATAACCTTACATACAAATGTAAATGCAAATCTTTTACAGGCAGGGCCAGTTTTCAGTGCACAGAGGAAATCCTGCCAGAAAAGAAACCAGGAAAAACCTATAATTCTTGCTTTATTCAACCAGTGTCAAACCACATATGTCACTCATGGCCTGAGGGGGTGCGGTGGGGAATTGAACTATATCCAATCATAGCTGCTGGAGTGGAAACTATCTAATCAGGTGCACAGCTGGAGAAGACGGAGCAGCTTTTTGGATCTAGGGGGGCCTTTGTCTGTCGCCCCAGCCAGAGCTCAGGGCACTAGAGCCACCTCAACCTAATTGTTTGTTTTTTAATTATTTTAACACTCCAAAAGAGAACTAGTTTTCTCATGCATTTTCCAAATGTGGGGCAAGCTGAGCCTCAAATCTACCACCCTGTTGCCCCAGCCTAACTCTGGCTTGCAGTCAGATTTTAAATTTCCAGTTCTTTCCTGACATTCACCAACACTAACTAACCTTGTATAATTCACAACATTATCAACTTTTATTTATTGTACATTTGAGACACGGTATTTTAAGTCTTCATTATTTCAAAAAGTAGTGGATGGCACTTTTTTGAAAAAGATTTTTCATTTGTAAACATTTTACAGGAGATGAAAGCAGAGAATAATCCCCTGACACTCCCCTGTTAAAAAAAAAAAAAAAAACAGAAAACCTTTGTGCCCCTTCCTTTAATCTTCCATTGGCACAGACGTCTCATCAAAATGTCTTTGGCTTGAGGTTTCACTTTGGGAACTTCACAGGGCAATACATCCTCAGCCATTGTATGTGATTTTCTTGGTTTTGAGTTTCAAAACTGTCTGAGGATTCCCCAAGATGCCAGCAGTGGCCATGGCTCCTGAAGTGTCTAGTAAATAGCATCACTTATGTCATCTCCTCTCAGGGAACAGCCCAAGGTATGGGAATGCAGCCTTTTTTTGTGCAGTGATTGGATGCACTGTGCCTGGAAGAAATCTCCAAGTGTATTGTTCCTCTAAAAGCAAACCCCTTTTGGCATTTTCTTACCCCAATGCTTAGCTTCCATTCCTTAGAGACACATTGTAGGCCAGGCAATTGGATGCTGGTATTGAGGAAAAAATGTTTTCAGATTGGTGAAGGCAGAGAAAATATTTCAAAGGACAAAGAAACACAACTCGGTGAGGCAGTGAGAAAACCTGCAAAGCAAAATGCACCTCAGGGACACAGTGGAGCACAGCATAGCGGATCCTGGTAGGACGGTCATGACCCACTTCACTGAACCAGATGGGAGTGGGGAAAATGTTCCAAGTAATTGAATGGCTTGACACTTGGGTCAGATATGTCTGTGTTTCAGTCAGCATTGTCACCTCCTAATTTTGTCACCTTGAAAAGATTTTTATACTTATTTTAATTTCAGTTCTTAATTAACTAAATTAAATTTTATCAGTAGAGCTTGAAAGATATGAAAATATTTATAAAGCACATTAAGTTGAATTTTGAAAAAAATTAAGTAGTAATATATTTCATTGTCAAAAATTGTTACTTACCACTATTCCTTTAGCAGAGTGAGTGTAGTGTGTTTCCCGGGTCTGTTTTTTATTTGAGAAGTGATTTCAAGAAGAATCTCACAGCTTACTGCTGGAAATACTACCAGGTGTAAAGTTAGGGATAGTCTCTCTTCCACTATGGTGGTAGGAAATAAATACATATTCACAAGCATGTGAGGTAGATTAATTGTCAAATTACATAAATTTATCACAACATCAGTTGTTCCTTTTTTCAAAATAGAGAATTTCTGAAAGTGAATATCTCTGTTCCACATGCTGCTATCTGGATGTTTGAGAGTAATGTTGTTTTGGGAGCTGGGACTTGGCACCTCCTGGAAGAGTTCATATATGATTAATTGTTACTAAATGATTTGTTATGAAAATAATTAAATTACATGCTTATTTTTTTGAAAGGGGTAGATACTTTGGCTTTTCTCATTGAGGTATAAGATGTAAGCCCCTTATAATTTTCTTTCTTTCTTTCTTTCTTTCTTTCTTTCTTTCTTTCTTTCTTTCTTTCTTTCTTTCTTTCTTTCTTTCTTTCTTTCTTTCCTTCTTT